TTTTTTTTTTTTTAAGCACAGTCCTTTCCACCCCACAACACTTGGCTAAATTGAAGGTATCACCTCATTCCTCTTTCCTCCTGGATCCAAGTGTGATGTAATTGATTTTTTTCCCCGTTCTGCACATTCCAGGTGTTGATAGGATCTTTGAGGGGGTTTGATCTATTTTTTTAAGAACCAGCATGTTTGTTCTCATATTTTATAAAATCATATTGTTGGTCTACATACAACTTCTCCAGTTAACTGCAGGCCACAATCAGCTGCAAGAGTATAATGTCACTGTCATAGCCCGGATAACGGGCCAGTGTCTGTGACTGCCTGGGGAAAGATGATCGGAAGTCCCACTGGGCTTCAATGCCTCTCATACAGAAAGGCATCTTGGTAGGTCTCACTGGCATCATTAGCTTTCTCCCAACTGAAGTTTCTCTCTCTCTCCTCCTCTTTCTAAACAATCAACAGCTTGATCAAGTCACCCGCCAACGGAGCCTGACCAGCCTGGAGCTGTTCCTGTCCTGTGCCCAGAAGCAGTTGAGTGCTCTCATCGCTACGGAGCCTGTTGACATTGAATAGAGACACACTGACCAACCTGTCCCTATCATTAAGCCTGCCTACTCTGAAGCTGTTCATCTCCTGTGCCTGGAAGCAGCTGAGTGTTCTAAGGGCCACGGAGCCTGGTAGTGTTGAATAAAGGGAACAAGACAGGCTACCTTTACCCTGGCCATTGTGTCAATCAATCAGTAGACTTCTAGTAGATGCCATGACTTAGAAAGATGCTTTTGATTTCTGTTTCAACTTGGAGAGTTGGTTTCCAGGTCAAGGATGAGCCAAAGCAGTTATCTAGAAGAACCATCACTGGATCTAACTTATTCTCTATTATTTTATTGGAAGTAGCAATGGAAGAATACATATGGCCCAAAGTCATGAAAAAGTGGTTGTTATCCACAGTTCGTGGGGTAAACAGTACAGCTTCAAGTGGCCTGGTGAACACTACCTGGTAAAGGATTACCTCTCGACTGCCTCATTGTGATTGGTGGGACAATACCACTATGTAACCACACATCTATGTTTCTAAGTAGAGTGGATAGAAACACTGACTGACATGGCCATCGTTGTGACTAACCTGGTCGCTTCTCTAAAGGTCAATCTGCGTGTTTTTGTTACTTGATCAAAAGTAAACAATGCTAGCTGACCAGGCTTTGAGTTGATGCCCTGTTTAACCCCGGGTTGCGTGGCACAGTGTTCTTGCTTCCTGCTCTTCTTCAGAGGCTCTGTAAATCATTTTTCACAATCTAATCTCTAGAAAGAACATAACTTGGATTTCTAATCTATGGGGATTTAATCAAGTATTAGACATATGGGGTCATCGGGATGTTAATTCATGAGCAGTGTGCTCCAATGTGAAATCACCACGAGCAATTTCACCGTCAGAACTGACCACAGTGTACCTATGCGGATGCTGTGTCTCTACCCTCATTGCTTCTGCCTTCAGGGTCTATGTATTTCTCTGGGATTTCTCAGTATAATAAAGAAACTCCAAAAAGATGCTTGGTTGTCAGGTTATCTATTTCTCTCGACTGTTTCTTCCTCCCCACCCCCACCTACCCCCATCTTGAGTCCGGGTCTTTCTGTCTCCGTTTTTCTTTTGCATCAGTAAAGCATTTCACAGTGGCTAATTCTAGTGACCTTAATAACCAAAGCACTCGGCCTTCAGGATGACTGATCAACTAACAGTCAGCTAATAGTTCCTGACTACTCATTGATAGGATTGATAGGATTTAGCTGAAATCACTGTGTTCCTAAACAGTGTCCCATAAGAACCTGGAGCCACCTGTAGAGAGCAACAGCAAGCCCGAGGTGAGTCACCAGGGCCTGAAAACTATAAAGCAAGTTTTTCCTCTCCCACTGTTGTTTGGTGACTAAGTTCCCTTGATAGGAATGTGCTGCTCGAATTCACTAGGTTGTCAGGACCACAAGTAGGGAAGAATATGTGAAAAGTAATGTATGAAATAATAGCCGCCGTGAGGTACCTGGCTGTGAGAACCAGGGAGGATCTTCCTTTGAGAGACTAGGCTCAGTGCTCTATTGCTGCAAGCCAGGAGGCCGAGGAGCAGTGGCAGAAGGACTTCTCATCCGAGGTAGGCTATTACAGAACTCAGGAATAGAAAGCATGAGTGAGAAAGAAGACATCAGGTCAGATTGTAGCAAAAGGTATACAACTGCTGATTCCAGCTGAGGCTGAGTCCAGACCTGAGCCTTTCTGAGTCTGTCTCTGGTCCCCAAGTGTGGTACAGGCCGGCCTTGTATGTGGAACACACAGAAATCAAGAAGCACGCTCACTCAGAAGGTAGGAAACTTTGACTCAGTGCTGGCACACATTCCATTGTCGGAAGTCTGGAAGCTGACTTAGAAAAAATAATAACACAGCCACAGAATGTACAAATCGCTGACTTTAACACAACTTACTGAGGCTGATTCTAGAAAATTCTTTGTGGCAAGATATGTATGTGATGAATGTTGAATTTTTGCCCATTTCATTGAGGTATTGTTTTCTAAAAATGTTAGTAACTCTGGCCATGGGGACAGCATGGAACTTTATAAACTATTTTCAGTGTAATATTTCTTTGGTGTTTATTTCTCATTAAGTGCCAAAAGTATAAATGTCGAAAGTCTACAAAAATGATGACCACTTTGTTGTTAAGTTAGTAAATTTATAGTTATTGGTGTATTATGTCCATCTTGTTGTTCTTACAAAATGTCTGATGCAAGCAACTAAGGAAGAGAAGTGTTTATTTTGATTCAGGGCTCCAGGATACAGCATGTCATGGTGGGGGAATCGTAGCTATGGGGGATTGAGAGGCTGGACACAGAGTGTCCACAGTCAAGCAGCAGAGAAAGAGTTGGACACTGGACACAGCATGTCCGCAGTCAAGCAGAGAGAGATGGTCACTGGACACAGCATGTCCACAGTCAAGCAGCAGAGAGAGAGATGGACACTGGACAAAGCGTGTCCATAGTCAAGCAGAGAGAGATGGACACTGGACACAGCATGTCCACAGCCAAGCAGAGAGAGATGGACACTGGACACAGCATGTCCACAGTCAAGCAGAAAGAGATGGTCAC